TTACTTTAACTAAGCCTATTGAGAAAAAAATTTAAACACAAACATATAGTTTTAACTGACCATGTTCCGGTCTTACTGCAGGCGGTAAAAAGTTTTAATTTGGCTAAGATCTCTGGAACCTAGAACCTAGTAGATAGTGCCTGAATACAATTACAAGACGTAAAATATTGCCATTATCTTACTTCAGTTGAAACTTTTCACACTTACAGAAAAAGAAGAATAAAGAATTTACTCCCTTATGCTTTGACCGAACAAATAATTAGATTTTTTTTTTGCTAAAAGGAATATCAATGCTTTTCTAATCTCTATATGCTATCAACAAATGAGGTTTATGTACAAATAAGTCAAATTTTTCTTCAATCTCACATGCACGCACCGATCAATTTAAGGCAGAAATTAAACTGAAACTAAGTTTTATAGACTGTCTATGGAGAGCATTATTAGGTACCAGTGCGAGAGTATCCATCATTCATCACTGAGCGCTCAACAACCAGCGCGGCGCCCAATATGATGAATACGTAAGAGAAAACCTTTTAAATAATACTTGCCAGCATATCCATTCTTTATAATGCTGGTGAACAACACGTTTTTTACAAATATGTATTAAAAAACCACAGAGTAAGGCATTTTACCATCGCCAACGATGAACGAGAAGCGAGTAGAGCTAAAAAGAGATAAGAGTTGGCGAGCAGCGAGAAGCGAGTCTGTAGTTCCAATAGTTTTGTCGCCGGGCTATAAGCTACTGCACTCAGATCTACAATGAAGATTAAAATGACCGCTGGTTGGTTTCTCGGCGTGAGTTCTGTCCGCCAAGTGAGCATTACTAAGCGAGTTTTTTCTTTAATGACTCTTTTCGCTGCGAAAAACTAGTGGAGAGAGAGTTCTCACTAGCAGTGTGAACACCCCGCGAGACAGAAATATAAGAATCAATTATATATCGTATCGTATCTCTTTTATTGGCACGGGATCTATATCTATTGTACGTTTCTTGAGCGAGAAAATAGTCGATAGCTAATCGCTCCTCATCGGCGGTGCGAGTGCTCAAGACTAGAGTGGCGCGGCACGGTAAGGTGACGCAGCTCAGCTTTTCCCAGCTCCGGGTGCACAAGCATTCTTACAATCCATCTGATAGTAAGTGGCTAATGCAGGACAAAGAGATCTGTAAACAGCCTTATATAAATATGACTACAGATACGTATTCACCTCTGAGGACTAAGATGGCATACCTTACAGCTTGTAATTTTACTGGTTCGCTGTAACCTTTAGACTTGAATTCCAGTCTGAAGGTTACAGAGAGTTAGTATAACTACAGTGCAAGCAACGATGTTCGGCAGCAGAAATAGGGTGCGACCTACCTAGATGTTCTTCTAGGCAGTAAAGGTCCCTCCTTACTCCTCCCTCCTAGTAAAGTAGTTCTTCTTTATCGGCTGGTAAAAGCCTACTGTTGAACATAGGCCTCTCCCGATATTATATAGGTGTCCAGCGCCTTTCATTTTTTTTATAGGATAGGGTGACAAACGAGCACACAGTCCACCTGATGGTAAGTGGTAGCTGTGGCCCATAGACATCTACATCTATCCTCGTTTGCGAATCATAATACAGATGCTTTGTCACCCGTGAGAACTAAGGTGGAATGCCTCTTTTCCAGTAAAAAGGGCCTCCGGCCACCTGCACTCACCGAGCGAAAAGCAGAGGTAGGTAAGCTTCTACTTCACGCTAGTATTCTGTGAGGTCATGGTACCACCCCGGTTTGAGCCGGCCCATCCAGGCGACAGCAAAAACTGCCGCGTGGCTCTACCACTGTCTAGATTCAGTTTCATGCCGCTGCCCGGCGCCGGATATTTTAAGTCTGACATTAATAAGACAATTATATTATAGTCATTTATCGGAAGCCATACTCGTAAGTTGTATGGCATTTCCCGCAGTCGGTTATAAAGGCACCCGAATGGACAAACTTTAGTGTGTAGTCGCCGCATATGGTACATGAACATTGGATTTTAAAACGCTATGTGACTAAGGTATATACATATTTGTCTCACCAACTATCTACAGATTGTAGATAGTTGGTGAGACAAACATGTTACACTTTTCAAGGTTCTTTATTCAGTTAGGTTGTAAATTACAAGTATGCTTAAAATCTAGTATTTTAAAATATTTCTCTTCCTTCCAATTCTAGAATCGTAAGCTTAAAGCATTATATAGATTAATTTAAACTCTTATCTTCCCGACCGAAGTGACGAAATTTTTGGTTGTTGTTTGTGATGAAGAGTTGGTATAATTCTGCGACATGTTTCCATGTGTAAAATTTGTAGTTGTGCAACTAAAAGTTGATGTCACTTGCTAGGAGTGACCATTATTAAGTTTTATGTATATTAATAATAATTGTTTTCTTTACATTATAATTTTAAATTTTTTATAACATAAGCCGTAATAGTTCTGAGGCTAAGCAGTCGCCGTAAATTTCCTAGTTCGCGAAGTACCCTAGTTCGTTCTCATCGGCGAAGGAAAACATTATGAAAAATCCTACATGTTTGAGAAATAAAGTACGTTTCGAAGTTGTGTGAAGTCTTCATCGTGTAGTGGCGGTGCTAACAGTGTGGTGATGGCGTAAGAATGTCCATTACCTCGTATCGTCCCGTGAGTGTCATAAGAAACTACAGAGGAAAATAATCCAGGAGATGGGCAGCGGAGTCTTCCTAATAACAACCAAAATAAAACTGCGGTGCCCAACCTTCCTGCCAAGCTGAAACATATCCTCCCTATAAGGCAATCTATGGGTGACACCTATGTTCCATCCATTCATCCATTACAACCTTTATCCACTGCTGGACATAGGCCTCCCACATAGATTGACTCATAGGGGGGATTTTGCCGTAATTGCCACGCTTGGCAACCGATTTTTTTATTATTTTGGGTTGTTATCAGAACTGATTTTTTTTATAGGAGAGGGGGCAAAGGAGCATGCGGCTCACCTGATAGTAAGTGACTACCGCCGCTCATGAACAACCGCAACACCAGGGGAATTGCAGATGCGTTGTCGGCCTTTTAAAAAGGAATAGGCTCTTTTCTTGAAGGTCCCTAAGTCGTATCGGTCCGGAAAAATCGCTGGTGGTAAACTATTCTACAAGGAAGTTGTGCGAGGAAGAAAACATCCTCTAAATCGCACAGTGGTGGACCGCCAATCATCCAGATGGTGTGGATGGTATCGGGAGTTCGTTCGTGAAATTTGGCGGCTGGGATTAATCCGAACAATTCCTGTTGGATCGTGATTTTCGATTTGTTTACTTATGCTTATATTATTTGGATGAAATTCTTTCAATACGTTTGTGGAACATTTCACATCTTGTACTAAGTACACCAACCTTATCATTCTCAGTTAAAAGATCCTGCTGGGCATACTAGGTAAGTGGCGACAACAGAGAAACTGCAACAAAAATTGCGCAGCACTATCTTCCCAGATTACAGCTATAATTTTCAATATTTAACTGCAAATGTAATAATGCCTGCCTAAATCAAATTGAAGAATTATTAAATAATGTTTTATACAACCCAAAGCGTTGAATAGTTCAAAGCAGGTGAGCCGCATGGTCGTTTGCTCCCTCTCCTATACAAAGAAAAAACAGAAGTCCCCACACGATAAAGTCATATCACCTACAAACAGACTTTGAATGTTATTGATTTTTGCTTATTTTTCTCATTCAATAAAATAATATTTAATCTACCTTTCGTACCCTCTTTTATGACGAACGGTTCTCACCGGTTGTGTCTGATTGCCATCCCATCAGAATATGAAATTGAGCGAATAGAAAGTGTACATGTGTTTACTCACATACTTGTGCACTACAATTCTGTCCTGCGGAGATGGCTAGTCTTTACTAATACTGGCAGCAGTAACCAAAATTGGGACTGGAGGACATTTATTTTTTATTATAGTGAGCTGAAGGATGATAGGTGTTACTCATCCAAAAAAAAAAATCACGTCAACATTAAAAATCCTTACAGATACTGTCAAGAATATAAAGTAATAATAATGTTAATATTAATGTGTGCAAATGAATATTTATATTATAATTAAATCCTGCTAAAGAGATTATTATTTAAACTCGGGCAAACAATGTCCTGTTTTAATAAGCAGTTAATTACAACACAGCGAGATTTCTCCCATGAACTCTCCAGATAAAAACTCATTATGAAAATGTCAGATAAACTACAGACGTCAGATGAGAGATGCCACCCTTTGTGTATTTATTATGCAGCATTAATTAACAAATAATGTAGGTAGGTATTTTAAAATTTAATAATAAAAGTAATATTTTTTTAATTTTCACTGTCACATTATCACTACTGCTCATATCAAGACCACTGCTGAACATATATCTTCCCTATATATTGTTACAAACTACGTTCCTGATCCATCTACATCCATAGACTACCTGTGTATTTCATCAGGTAGACCACTCCATCTAGTAGACACCTGATGTAAAGTCTAGTAGACACCTGATGGAAAGTGTATGCTTTGGACGCTCATAGACATCGCTTTGTTACTAAAGACGACTAAAATGGATTACCTTGAAACCAATAAGAAGAGTAAGAAGAGTCTCACTACCGACTGTACGAATCATAAGTAACATAATGATGGTATTCTGTAAGAGCACGACGGTTTCCCCGTTCGAGCCAACCCCATTCGTTTTGCAGCCATATTGCAGCTCCAGTGTGAATTTATTGCCTGCAACACTCTCTTCACTTTCCAATATTATTACAGACTGAGAAGTATTTAATTATAGTCCTTAAGGATATGAACAAATCTCTGGCCTTATTTGTTTGAAGTTAACGGCAGGTGTCAAAGGCCTACAGAATTTTATTAAACATTAGGATGAACGTTAACAAGGTTAAAATTTTGAATAATCAATGTACACTAAAATTATTTCACATATAAAAAACAAGTCGGTTTTAATTTTACAAATATATTATAAATATATATTATGTTTATGATTATAATTTCATTTAGTACAGGCAACACACGAATCATCTAAATCACATCGACATACTCGGAACGGTAAAGATCCATCGAACGCCTTATTATACTCGTAGTCCCATAAAACAGAAACAGTACCAGTCACATAAGGTTCATCAGATTCATTCTTGAATTCAAATGATTCACAATAAACATTATCTACTATAAGGGTCGCAATAATCACGTGTTCCTTTCCGTTAACATTTATCTTACATTTCCAGGGAGTGAACGCCATGTATAAGTATATTTGTGTTATTTTTATTGTAATTTTTTGTCTTTGACCGCTTTTAAAAACTAATTCTTTCTGCCCTTCGACAACTCTCGGGCAAAAATCTGGTCCTGACAAAAGGGCGACTACAGATTTTGGATAAATAACATTATCATTTCCACATTCTTGTTTTGTACAGCGACTTTTAGTAACACACCAAGTGCACATTGTTTTTGTTAAACACGTGGCACAAGATGATACCCCACTACATTTATCTTTTTCTGTTGCCAAAACACATTCAAAAAGAAAAGCACATAAGGTGATGAGCACTACGTTGTGAAGGATATTAGAATACATGTTTAGGTACGTCCTGAAAAAATTAATAATATACATAAATTATAATTAACTTTATGTACAAAAATTTTACTTCAATAAGAAACAACTTACCTACTCTCATGTTGAAACTGAACTGATAATAATCAGAACATAACATTTTATATTAGCTAATGGTATATAAACATGATTTATGATTAAATTATTGCATACGCCGAAGAGCCAATATATAAAATCAATTCTATATTGCTAATAATAATCGATATAAAGGTTAAGAAGCATAACACATTGTTTTCAAGTAACAATATTGTGTAATATAGGGTTGCAAAATTAAAAAAGAATTAAATCGACTTCAAAAACAAAAAAGAAAATATAATCCCACATAATATTTCCTAAATTCGGTGCTAAGATATCAAAATTTATACCCTGGCTTCAGAAGGTATTACGTGGATATTAATTTTTTTCTTTTTTGGTTTCGAAGTTGGTTTTAACTTTTTAATGTGTACTTAATTATTTTACACTTTTGAGAGAATCTGTGGTCCGAGAGCTCATGACGCATTTTTCATGAAGTGTTTGATGCATCATCAAACTTTGTTGAAAAGTATCAGTCCACTCTATAAGCAGGTAATATGACTGTTTGCCTGTCCTACCTGGGTACACCTGGTACTGCGCATACAGGTAAGTCACAAAAAAAAATTAACCAAAAAAAGTGTGATTCAAATAATAATAGTGATTATCCGTCAGTTAAGTTGATAAGGAATTAAGAAAAAAAATGGCAGATACTTCTGAAGGGGTTGACATAGGAGCAGATTATCCCAAAGTTTTATTTTCGAAAATTCCAAGAAAGTGTTTGATTTAACCTGCCATTTTCACAGCGTGTATTATATATAATAAAAAATTTTCACAAAATGGCAGACAGTTTCTCCGGGGGTTAATAATTTAAAAATCTATACAAATAAATAAAATTTAAGTGTCTGTTTGTAATGTCAAAATAACAGCTTTTTACTAAACGCATATGAAATTATATACGATATTTATAACAAAAACACAATTTTAAATTTTTTTTCTGTCTGACTGTTTGTTCCGGCTTATCTCCGAAGTGGCTGGACCGATTTTGACAGGACTTTCTCTGGCAGGTAGCTAATGTTAAAAGAAGTAACTTAGGCTACTTTTATTTTAGAATAATTATTAGGGTTCTGCGCAAAAAAAATTAAAACCGTAAATTATACGCGGGCAAAGTCGCGGGGGACAGCTAGTATTTAAATAAATCTTGCGTGGACTGGAGACAAATGTGCTACGGGTTGTAATGAGTGCGACAGAAAGCGACGGTCGCCGATATGTGAAAAAAATGTTCAATTCAAATAATAATAATGACTGTCTGTCAGCTAAGTTGATAAAGAATTAAAAAAAAAATGGCAGAAACTTCTGAAAGAGTTGAAATAGAGGCAAACTACAAAGTTGTATTTTCTAAAATTCCAAAAAAGCGTTTGATTTAATCTTCCGTTTTTACAGCGTGTTTATTATATATAATAAAAAAAAATCTCACTTTCATCAACCCTACAATTACTTCCTTACTACCATTAGCTGTAATTACTGTTCTACATTTGAGTAAACTTCATCTTTATCTACTTCTTGAAATTTTCATCAAATAATATATATATATATATATATATATATATATATATATATATATATATATATATATATATATATATATATATATATATTTATAATTTATATATATAAATTATAAATACACATATAATATACTTATGAAGATGTATATAAAACGTTTTTATACTTAAAAAAATTTTTTTAAGTATAAAAAATAATATTATTATCATATTATGTGTAATATCATGCTTATGCATATAATACATTTCAGTTGTAACAACTGTACGAGTACAAGACCACGTGGTTCGCAATGGGAGCGCGAAGAATGACTAAGGACATATCAATCAACGACCGTCGCTCTCTGTCGCACTTATTACAACCCGTAGCACATTTGTCTCCTTTCCACGTAAAATTTAAATTATTAACCCCCGGAGAAACTGTCTGCCCTTTGGTGAGATTTTTTTACTATACATAATAAACACGCTGTAGAAACGGCAGATTAAATCAAACACTTTTTTTGGAAGTTTTGAAAATACAACTTTGGGATAGTCTGCCTCTATGTCAACCCCTTGAGAAGTGTCTGCCTTTTTTTTTTCTTAATTATTTATCAACTTAGCTGACGGATAGTCATTATTATTATTATTATGAGGGGTATCTATATAGTTTTCTCATCTGGTTGGGCTGTATAAATATATAATTGTAAATGAAAATGATAAACATACATAAATAGCAACAAAATAAAATAAATACATAAACAATACATAAATAAATAAAAACCAAACCAGATGGAAGCCCTCGGCACCAGACCAAACGGCCGAGGGTTAGGGGGATAGGGAAAGAAACTGGCGGACGATGCGGGCGGTATCGAGGAGCACCGCCTTCTGCATTTGAGCTTGGAGCGGTCCGTCACGGAGTCCCAATCGCCTGAGATGACCCGAGAGGTTGACTGGGATTAACCCGTTCGCAGAAAAGACTACAGGTACAATTTCGACAAATGTCGACGGTGCCATCCCTTAGGATGTATCTCCGATAGTTGTTGGTCTTAATAACCTGATCCTGTATTGCACAGACAAAACCCTCGGTTTCTCCGAAGAGGTCACCAAAACATAGCCAGTGAAGGGAGGCAACTGTATCTACGAAAGGCTCATGTAGAGCCTTGTAGAACCTCCCGTGGAGCTCCTTCTCCTTCCATACGGTCTCCCGGTCGGAAATGTTCTGTACTGCCGGGTCTTGCCACTGCTCGTTAGCTAAGGATAGAGGGGTAAGTCCTTTATCACAAAAAATAACGTTCCTATAGAATGGATCATCCGCTCTCGCCAGAAAATAATTACGGAGACTGCACACTTCGCGATTATGCAGGGTAAGCGCGCTTAAAAAGCCGCGCCCACCATGCTTCCGCGGCAAGTACAGCCTCATTACCGACGATCTCAGATGATGCATTCTCAGGGACGTCATTATAGTGCGGACTTTTCTATCCAGAGCGTTCAGTTCGGTCTGAGTCCACCTGAGTATGCCGAAGGTATACATGAGAACAGGCATGATCCAACCGTTATAAGCGTGTGTCTTATTAACGCCCGACAAAAGACTGTTAAGCATTTTTGTCAAGCGTGCATAAAACACATCGCAAACTGACTGCTTCATACCCGCCTCATCGACACCTATGTTCTGTGACATACCCAGGTATCGGTATGTTTTAGCCTCGGAAAGGGTCCTTATGCTGATGGGCATAGATAAGTCCATGCCCTCAGAGTTAGCAACCCTTCCCCTTTCGACATGGAGGATCGCACACTTATCCGTCCCCAGCTCCATTCCAATAGAATTGCTAAAATCACAAATGATGTTTAGCAATTCCACAAGATGGGAGCGACTGGAGGCGAATAACTTGAGAACATCCATATAGAAAAGGTGGGTCACTTTTGTACCTCCTTTCCGAAGCTGAAATCCCCTCCCAGAACCCTCCAGTAAAGTACTGAGAGGGTTCAGAGAGAGGCAGAACTAGATTGGACTCAAACAATCGCCCTGGAAGATACCCCTTCTTATCCTTATGTGGTTCTCCACAGCCGTCATCCGCTGGCCTAGATGACAAAGGATCGTACTCCATAGCCCCATACACTGCCCGAGGAAGTCTCTAACCGTACAGTCAACCTTGTACAGCTCGAGGATCCTCTTAAGCCATGTATGAGGCACCGAGTCGAATGCCTTTTTGTAGTCTATCCAGGCGGCGGAGAGGTTCCGACGGTTGCGTTTAACCACCTTGCCAATGACGGCGTCAATGAGGAGTGGTTCCTTGGTTCCACGACCACCGCCCCGACATCCATTTTGAGCGAGCGACATCACCTGATTTGAGTTCAGGTGACGAGTGATTCTCGCGCTCAAAATGGATGTTAGTGTCTTGTATATGGTAGGTGAAAATGAAAATGAAAAATGAAAATGTTTATTTGTCTCAAACAGTTACATGAATTATAAATGAGACATCCCCAGTAAGTAATTGATAATACTTGTGTTGGGGCTATCTCGCTCTTTCCCTTAATTATTAACAATATTGAGACTATTATAGAAAAGGTAAGTAAAGATAAATTTATGAAGAAAAAAATAACAGTAAGTGACTTATAAAGTAATTATTAGCTCTTTGTGTAACTGTAGTTGTACGCCTGTGTGAAACTGTAGTGCATCTTGTTTTTAAACGTGCGCGCGCGCGCGTGTGCGTGTGTGTGTGTGTGTGTGTGTGTGTGTGTGTGTGTGTGTGTGTGTGTGTGCGTGCGTGTGTGTGTGTGTGTGTGTGTGCGTGTGCGTTTATGTGTGTGAGTGTGTGTCCTCGTGTGTGTGTTTTCGTCTCCTCTCTTGACTGTCTTGGTTAAATGGAATAGATTTTTTAAGTATAGGACCGTAATTAAGTAATATAGTTTTCTAATTGAAAGTAAGCCACTGATTCTATATATATTTTAGTTTATAGTACATGACTTTTATAAGTGACCTTTGGGCTCTTTCTAACTCAAGGAATTTAGTTTTAGTGGCTCCTCCCCAGACTGGTAAACACTATGTAAGAACTGATTGCGTAAGCATAATATAGATGCTATTTAGTGTCTTCTGAGGCATCACATATCTTAAATTTTTTAAAATCCATATAAATTTGCGCACCCGTGATGTAACAATCTCAATATGCGAATGCCAAGTTAAACACTCGTCAACTATAATTCCCAAGTATCTTGTGGACGTTATATGTTTAAGGACCTGGCAATCACAATTATGGTTCAAGTGGTCCGCACACGTGTGTATTCTAATTTTAAAATTGAGGCCTGGTTTAGACCTTAAACTAGGAAAAAAACAAATGTAGTTCGTTCTAATCTTATTAATGGTTAGCAGACTGGCTTTGAGCCATCTATCTATAACAACTAATCCTTGCTCGGCATTATTGCATACTTCTTCCCACGAGTCCCCAATGTAAACGATGGCCGTGTCGTCCGCGTAGGAGAAGGTTTTCACACCACTGCTTCGTAGGTTGCATAATTCATTAATATACACTAGAAACAGTGATGGGCCGAGAACCAAGCCCTGTGGGACACCGTAAACAATGTTTTCCTCCTCACTAAGCAAGTTATCTATTTTAACTTGCTGTCTCCTACCTCGGAGGTAGCTGTCAAAGAGGGAGAGAGCTTTACCTCTTATCCCTATATATTCAAGTCTCTGCACAAGGATGGGAACAGATACAGTGTCAAAAGCCTTTTTCAGGTCTAAAAACACCGTAACGCATTTATAACCATTCTAGTCTACCTTATTAACGATTTCAGATGTTAACGCAATGATCGCATCCTGAGTTGGCCGTCCCTGTCTAAAACCGTATTGTGAATCTGAAATAATGTTGTATTTATTTAAATAACTTACTAGCCTTTTGTTTAATATTTTCTCTATTATTTTTGAAAGGGATGTTAAGACAGATATCGGCCGATAATTGTTAACATCACTCTTGTCCGCATCTTTGTGCACGGGCGTAATTATAGAACGTTTTAGCGCATCAGGAAATACGCCCGTTTCGAAACACATATTAATCAACTGGCTAATAAGAGGAACGACTAGTTCTCGAAATAATTTAAGGAAACCCACAGGTATGCAATCCCACCCCGAAGCACTTTCTGAGTCAAGTGATCCAAGTATGCTATCCACTTCTGCCGGATCTGTCTCCAGTAGGACGAACGAGTTAATTTGAGATAGTGAATTTAAGTAAGTGACAGGTCTAGATGCTTGTCCAGTTAGGGTTATGATTTCATCCGCAAGTTTTTTTCCAATAGTTGCGAAGAATTGGTTTACACGGTTTAAAGAGTCAAGAGGATGTGGTGTGATATGCAGTAGGTGTATACTATACGCCTTGGGTTTTTTATAATGTGTAATGTCATTAATTTTACACCAGAGTAGTTTAGGACTTTTTAAAGAATTTAAAATCTGATTTTTATGATACTGCCGTTTGAGTTTTTTAATAAGATTAGAACAATATGTGCGAAAACACCTGTAAATTATAATCAATATAACGTTAAAAGGGTTTTTTCTCTTATTCCATCTTACACGTTATGGGGCGGTACTTGCTCGGGTCTGTGGAATCCCAGTCTTTAGGAACCAAATGAGTGATCCCAGTAGTGAAGAGGCTCGGGAGCGACCACGAACCCTTTCAGCCAGTAGTGATGCAGTCCGTCGAGTCCCGGACTTTTCCAGTTCAGGGCCCTACGGACCGCCTCAGCTACGTCATCCGGCGTTATGATGACGGGGTCCATGGGCGTAATATTCTCACACTGACTCGCCACAACTTCCGTCCAAGGGCCATCGGTGTGGTTTACGGGCCCTGACCACAGGCCGCGCCAGAATGCGATAGTGTTGGCTTGTTTCGATGCTGGGCCCGTTCCACGTACCATTGGTCGCTCCAATGATTCATAGAGCCTCTTCTGATCACTCTGGAAGAGACGATTTTGGTTGAACCGTGTCGACCTCTCGGTATATCGCCGAATCCGCTTCTCCCAAGCAACGATTCTCTGCTTCAGGTCGTCTATGCGCTCCGTCAGTTTTTGCGTTATATCCAGCTGGGACAAACTAATATTTGTCCCAGCAAACGCCATCCTGACGGTGCGCACAAATCTCGACCTATTATTGCCCGACCTGAAGCTTATCAGTCTGCCGATGAAGGACCCTTGCCTTTGCGATACAGTCTTCAATCCTTCTTCTCCAGGCTGGGATAGCGCTTCTTTGTCTATTAGCGCGTCCAGCCGTGGGAAGTTTGGCGCCAATAAAACGGCAAACTGCCAGTGCGGCGCCAAAAATAATTGAGTCCGTCTTGCAAAGGTCCTGGCTGGCTTCCAAATAGGTCACCAGCATTGGGTTAAGAGCCCTCACGATAGCTCGATTCCGCTTGCTTAGGGGTATGCGCGGTAGCCGCGGTCGATTTTCGAGAGGCGTACTGCACGTTTCCACAATCGCCTCCTCCAATTTACTCCCCATCTGCTCTAGTTCTTGGGTGACCATTCCATCATCGTCTGAACCAACTATAACTGGAAAATCCGCAGCGGCATCGACGTGTGCAGATTGTTCTGCAATTTGTGGCGTCGCATTACCAGCTGTAGCATTTTCATCCGATGAGGGAACAGCCTCACGTCGTAGTCGTTCGAGTTCGGCGTCACCAAATATGTTGGAGCGCAGGATGTACCGAACTCGGTCTGCCAGGTTTTGCTCTGATACATGAACAGATGGCTCCAGCTCCGCGAAAAAGCGATGCATCCGAGCCCGATACGCCAACATTCCAGTTTCTTCCCCTATTGCCCCAAAATACGCTCGCAATGCGTTTGCGTTCATCCTTTTTGTCCAACGCATGCGACCTGTTCCAGCAGCGGCGGGTGGCGCTTGCTGAGTCGGAGAAGACCCAGCCGACACCAAGCCCTCTGGTGGGGATGATGGATGCGGGCGGCTACTAGATGGCCTTGCAGCCCCCCGCGCTTGACTGGAGACGCGCATGCTGTCGCGTCCAGCGCCAGCTGCAGACGCGCCCTGGAAACCTCCAGGCAGCGGCCCTTTGCGCACTCTTTTATTGTCCATCATCCATTGTATAGACGTCAATTAACGGGAGACGCCCAGGCCCGGCACCGTTTCATGGTGCAGCCATAAGCACAGACGGACCTTTGCACCCTCAATTCTACCGAGGCACGGCGCACACACCTCTTGGCAAGGCGCTGACTGACTGTACTGACGTAGCAGTTTTGTCACTTAACTGTTACGTCAGCGGGCGGTGGGGTCGTCACTTCCCTACGACACGTAATTTTTACATTATTTTTTATATTATTATTGGGGTTATCTATAAAGTTTTCTCATCTGGTTGGGCTGTTTAAATATATAATTATAAACGAAATATATAAACATACATAAATATCAATAAAAAAGTATAAATACATAAAAAATACATAAATATATAAAAAAACCCAACCAGATGAAAGTCCTCGGCAGGGGAGACCAAACGGCCGAGGGTTAGGGGGAAAGGGAAAGAAACCGGCGGACGATGCGGGCGGTATCGAGGAGCACCGCCTTCTGCATTTGAGCTTGGAGCGGTCCGTCACGGAGTCCCAGTCGCCTCAGATGACCCGAGAGGCTAACTGGGAGTAACCCGTTCGCAGAAACGACCACAGGAATAATTTCGGCCGGCAGACCACCCCACATGTCGGTCACCTCGTGAGCCAGGTCCAGATATTTTGTCAGCTTATCTGTTTCGGCTTTCACGAGGTTCTCGTCATAGGGAATGGTAATGTCGACCAAAAATATCCTTGACTGTGCCCGGTCCATCAGCACAATATCAGGCTTATTCGCAAGAATAGTCCTGTCTGTGATGATGGCCCGGTCCCAGTAGAGCCTGGCGCGGTCATTTTCGACCACGGCTTCCGGCAAGTACTTATAATATGGCAGTTTCCGATCCACGAGACCGTATTTCAGAGCGAGCTCCTGGTGTAGAATCCTGGCTACTAGGTTGTGTCTGTGCAAATACTCAGAGTTAGAAAGCGCCGAACAACCGGAGATGACATGCCTAAGTGACTCACCGGGATGGCGACAAGCTCGACAGATGGCGACGGTGCCATCCTTTAGGATGTATCTCTGATAATTGTTGGTCTTAATAACCTGATCCTGTATTGCACAGACAAAACCCTCGGTTTCCCTAAAGAGGTCACCGAAACGTAGCCAGTGGAGGGAGGCGACTGTGTCTACGAAAGGCTCATGAAGGGCCTTGTAGAACCTCCCGTGGAGCTCCTTCTCCTTCCATACGGTCTCCCGGTCGGAAATGCTCTGTACTGCCGGGTATTGCTCGTTGGCTA